GTCCTACTTACTTTTTCTGGGCCCAGTAAATAACTTATCAAATTTGATTGGATTTTCTATTATCTGGCTTGCCTAGAATATTTTTTCTCCTGGGAATTCAAGCCATCTTATTTGCCTTAAAATGAGCCTTGAAATTTAGTTTCCACATCAATGAGATAAAATGTTATTGCTTCTGTCTTTAATCATTCCTGCAAGTTTCTGTGCCTTATTCTTCATTCTTCACCATCTCACATACTTTTCATGATTTTTTTTTTAGTCATAAAATCTGAGTTAAAGGGACTAGAGACCACTGTCTTCACTTCTTACTGGGTGCAGGAACCTTTCCAGCCTACTGTCCCTTAATCCTCTGTAAAGCTCAGAATCTCTTTCCTTATTCCTAGGTTTACAAAATGCATATATATTTGATCTTGTGTGTTATATATGTTTTTAAATGTTTTAGCTATTCTGTTCCAGTATTACAAGTTAAGGAAACATGAATTTTCCTTGATATTGTTAGCCTGTTGTGCCATCAGAAGATCATAGACACAATATCAATATCTAACCATGAACTCTCCACTTCTCTCTGCAACCTCCAGTGGAAAAGCATAGGCACCCTAGTAATTACCTCCAGATAAAAAATGCTAGGGATATTGTCTTTAAAAAAAATGAGGGCCGGGCGCTGGTGGCTCACGCCTGTAATCCTAGCTACGCAGGAGGCTGAGATCTGAGGATCACGGTTCAAAGCCAGCCCGGGCAGGAGAGACCTTGAGACTCCTATCTCCAATAAACCACCAGAAAACCGGAAGTGGCGCTGTAGCTCAAGTGGTAGAGCGCTAGCCTTGAGCTGAAGAGCTGAGGGACAGCGCCCAGGCCCAGAGTTCAAGCCCCACGATCGACAAAAAAAAAAATGAGAACTTGGGGCTGGGAAGGTGGCTCAGTGGTAGAGTGCTTGCCTTGCATGCATGAGGCCCTGGGTTCAATTCCTCAGCACCACATAAGCAGAAAAAGCTGGAAGTGACGTTGTGGCTCAAGTGGTAGAGCACTCACCTTGAGCTGAACAGCTGAGGGACAGTGCCCAGGCCAATAGTTTGGGCACCATGACTGGCAAAAAAAAAAAGAAATGAGAACTTGAAAGGACAAAGGGTAAACAAATGCAGCAGTGGTGCTCACTGGACACTATGCTGAAAATGAACTATACAACTTGTGGGTAGGGATGGGAAGGAAAAATTGGGAAGGAGCAAGAAAAGGAGTGACTATCAAATAGAAATGTACTTTTTACTTGATTTATGTAATGATAATCCCTTTTGTACATCAGCTTTATAATAATAAAAATATTTAAAAAGGAAATGAGAATGGAAAGAAAACAGCAACTTCTACTAGGCAGTCACAGTGTTGTTCTAAAGCACAAAAGGGATTATATAATAAATTAGTTATAGTTTTTTATATATACATATATATAATACACATAAGTATTTGTATTAAAATGGATAGTTTCAACTTCTAGCAACACACAATTTTGTAAAATTGTATAAATTACAGTGTTAGAAGTATTAGAAGATCATTTGAGATAGTTGGAGAAAGATCTATCTTCAAAAGATCTATCTTCAGTTTGGGGGAGATGGGCAATGAACAGAAACACATGCTTTGTCCTGAAACCCACAGAAGAAATGGCTTTTTTCTTCTGCTAGCCAACTATGGGTAAACATTTGATTCTTTCTTAGTAGGACTCTACTGAGAAATATTCCTGAAAATATTTCTACTGAGAAATACTTCTAAAAACTGCTTATAGCCTGCCCTTTGGGTAGGATAGTAAACCTCCATAGACAGAATCCTCAACTGTATAAATAATGAACTTAACCTACATTTTGTTAAGGATTTAATGATTAAAACCTATCTTATTTTTTTCTAAGCAACGTTTACTTTCCAACCTGTCTACTAAACCATGCTAATCTAATCAATATCATGTTGTGATTACATTATATACAAACAGAAAGCTAATTTCCTGCCAGAACTTTTGCATAGTTTAATTGTCACAAAAGCTCTGTAGTTGACAAGTGAACATATCCAGCCTCAGAGAATCAGATGAGGGCATGTCAGGCACAGGAGGTACACATGCTCAGGTATGAACAGTTAGTATGTTGTGTCAGGAGGTGACGCTGAGCATGAAATGCTCTCTCATCTCATCCAGTTCATCTAATGCAGGGTTCTGACAAAGGTTTCTATCCAAATACAGTATATTCTGAGACACTGAATGGCCTCTAAGTGGACACTGATTGGCTAAGTCTATTGCTTGTGTATCACCTCTTGTTCCTCCTAACCTCATTAATATCTGACACCAATCAACTCCTTTCTTATACTTTCCACAAGAAGTTCTCTCCCCTTTTTAGTATTCAAATATTTTCTTCTTTTTTAAAGTCTGGTGCTATGCCACTTTCCTAACTCAGTTCAACAGCATTGTGTACTTGGAAAACTGCCCTGACCTTTCATGATCTCTTCTCTGCCTCCCTAAATGTGTGTGACACTACCAGGGTTTGTTTCTAGTGTCTTTCACTTCTTCTTTTTTTTTTTTTACTGTATGGTAGAATTACATCCACGACCTACTAATTCAATACCACACAGAGACTTTTCAGAATGATAGGGAGTGTAAAGTGAAGTATATGAATAGTTAAGCCATAAATTAGTGTACATGCTTTATATCAGTACATATTTTTCAGATTATGAAAACATAGCTAGTACTTTGTGTTCATCCCAAGCTTATGTTGTATTCTTTTATATAGAGACAGTTTCCAACTGACAAGTGTTATTTCATGTTGAAAGAATGTATTTATTTAGTTAATCACTAAGAGCTTGAAAACACTTGTTTGTATAGTGTTTAGTTACCAGGTTGGCCCTGAATTTTTATTGTATCACAATGTAGCAGAAGATTGTTATAGTATTGTATAAACTTCACTGGTGAAATTATGATGTATACCAGTGTACTTGTGGGAAAACAGAGGGTGATGAGACAGGAACACAGCAGTCGAGTCTCCCCTTAGTCACACAGGTGAGCAAAGCTATTTGCTGCAGTACAGTTCTTTGTGATTGTAGGTGAAGGGACTGCCTTCGTAAAAACATTTATTTGTATTGCAGTGTACAGAATTGAAGATTATGCCCTAGAAAGAGTGAGACAGATGTGTAATTAGGAAGTCTACTCTGGAAAATACATTGCAGAAAAATTGGCTGTTGCTATTGTGTATGTGAAAGAGCTGGTACTTAGGTGTACTTATATTGGTACAGTCTTTATGGAAGGATGTATAAGAGGCTGATGGTCTCCCAGGATAGATAATCAAGGCTGCAAGGGAACTACTTTGTCTTACATTGACACTGCTTGCATTTTGAAATTACAGCACTATTAATATCACTTTTTTTTTGTGGTGGTGGTAAGGATTGAACCTAGGGCCTTGCTCATGGCAAGCAAGTATTATATAAATGCCTCCTAGTCCCTTAATTACTTTTTGGGCCAGGCAACAGTGGCTTATGACTAGCTATTCAGGAAGCTGAAATCTGACAATCATGGTTCAAAGCCAGCCTAGGCAGGAAAGTCCATTAAGACTCTAATTTCTAATTAACTATCAAAAAGCTGGAAGTAGAACTGTGTCTCAAGTGGTAGAGAGCCCTGAGCTAAAAAGTTCAGGCACAGTCCTTAGGCTCTTAGTTCCAGCCTGGGACCAGCACCAAAATACAAAAGTGTTGCATTTCCTTAGTATCTACTGATGGGCTCAAAAGTAGGATAACAGTGCTTTGATATTAGCTTCATGTGTACCTTATTTTGCTCCTCTCCTGAAGTGACTATGGAATTGATTTAGAAGTTGGAACAGTAGAAACAACTCTGCAGTCAGATCAGACCCCTGTCTATAGCCTACAAACTTGTAGGATTAATCAGCTTTTTTGATCCCTATTCTTCTCTAGGCTATGGGAATGAAAATATGCAGAACCCAGATGTATTGTAAGGATTAAATAAGAAAGTGAACCTAAATGAGTTAGCACAGTGGTGGACAAATTATAGGGCTCAGTAAATAATGTTTGTATTTTAATTGAGTATCTAAGGAATTTGGTTTACCAAGTGTTAAGATTCCTATTTTTCCAGCTATACCTCAGTTGGAACGATCACAACATTTCTGCTTCCTTTGGCATACTACAGGGAAACAGATTTTTGAATGCTACTTTGGCTCTTAAGAGTATTATTTAAAGTGAAATAGCTTATTTTTCCCCTTTTTAATCTTATAAAGTCCTTCTTATGAAGTTTGTTTGTTTGCTTTTTGGTAAATTCTTTTGATTGAGTCAATATCAGTGTTCAGTGTAACAGTGATCAATGATATAACTACTTTTATCTCAGTAATTAATATAGATAATCATAGAAATCAGTAACTATTTTCCAGTGATTTTTAAAGTCTATTTTTTAGAATTATCTTTAAGTAGTTGGACAAAGGAGTTGCCATTCAACATCATCCCTTTCATCATCTCCCCCCACCTCCTTTTTTTTTTTTTTTTTTTGCCAGTCCTGGGTCTGGGCCTGGGTGCTGTCCCTGAGCTTATTTTGCTCAAGGCTAGCAATCTACCACTTGATCCACTTCCAGCTTTTTCTGAGTTGTTTATTGGAGATAAGAGGCTCACAGACTTTCCTGCCTAGGCTGGCTTCAAACCACAATCCTCAGATCTCAGCCTCCTAAGTAGTTAAGATTTCAACTGTGAGCCACCAACACCTGGCTTTTATCGTCTTTCAAGTAAAAGTATCATTATTTGCTTTCCTGCTTTTAAATAGGAGTTCCCAGTTTCTTAATTTGTGTGTTTGTATGTTGAATATTAATACATAAACTAATACATAATACAGTAAAAAAGCCACAATTTTCCATGAGTACATAGTGTTAACTACAAGTCAAAAGTTAGTGATAATGACAATATTAGAACCTATATTAGTTAGATAGGCCTTATGGGTAGCATATCTGTTTTAAATGTGTTTTTTTCTCTTCCTGTTCTTTCAGTTTCATATGATGTCAAAAACAGCTTGCATATCCCCTCAAGTGTCCGACTGTGATACACAGACAGTGAGTTTGCTTTTTTTAATTTACATAATTTATTTTTATTTAAGTAGTTGTACAAGAGGGATGCTCATTTGCTTTTGAAAAGCTGGCATATTGTCCTCTAAGTAAGTGCTTCTGTGACTTCAAAATAACTATCTGGAGAACCTACAGACTTGTGGCAGAGAGTGGATTCATAGATACTTGAATGTAAATTAACTTTATTGTCTACTCAAGTATGAAATATCCATAATGTCCTTACATTATTTGATGTTGAATAATTTTTTCTGTCTTTTTGTTATTTTTTTGGGTCTTTGTGTTTGGTACAAAGCAGATAAAACTCTGAGGAGTGCTTCAACAGCATTTCTAGAAAGAATGGTACATTTTGTTTTTGTTTTGTCTTGTTTTTTTTTTTGTTGTTGTTGTTGCTTTGTAGCACAGGCTGGCCTTGAAGTTCAAACTTCTCCTGCCTCAGCTTCTGTATGTGTTGAATTTCATCTCTGTGCTGTTTTACCTGGCACTAGCATTGCATTTGCTGGGCACATTGCACAGAGTGGTGGAGGTGGAACTCCTGTGAATGTCAGAGTGTTGGGAGCCACTAGGAGCCTTGCCTGATACCTTTCTGCTGGGAGATTTGAGCTCAGGCTTTAAGGGTACGTCTCAGTGTGTCTGCACAGCAGGGATGGTAACTTATATTAAAAGTTATATTTTAAATTTTTTAAAAAAAATTTGTGCCTGTATTAGGGCTTGAATTCAGCACTGAGTGCCATCCCTTAGCTATTTTTTTTGCTCAAAGCAGACAGTCTTTTATCACTTAAACCACAGCTCTAGTTCTAGCTTTTTGCTGGTTAATTGGAGATAAGAATCTCATGAAACTTTCTTGCTAAGGCTGGTTTTGAATCTTGATCTTCAGATCTCAGCCTCTCAAGTAGCTAGGATTACAAATGTAAGCCACCAGCACCTGGGAGAAAAAGGGAGGAGGAATATATTTTAATTTGATAAAGGAAGTATGTTATTAATTTTATTAAAACAAAATTATAGTGCAAACATAATTCAGTTACTCTGACAAATTTTGGTTAATTCATGCTCCAATAACTGTAGTCTCTCTTATTTTCCTTCTTTTCTAAACAAACCAAGATCTCACAGTTTTGATAATCTTTGATAAATGTTCCACTGTTATTGACATTAACAGTTCATTCCATCTTTATTACCCTCCTACTTTTTGAATTACTTATCATTTGCTTTCTAACCCATTGCTTTGTCTAAATGATTGTCAGTCCCCAGTTGTCTTCAGTGACTTCTCCATAGACTAGCTGTTACTTGGTCTCATTTCTTCCAAACTCTCCTCTGAATAAAATCTTGAGAGACTTCATTTTTAAATGCTACTTTTGTTTCTGTGACATTAAAATCATGTAGTTTTAGACCAGAAAGGATTTTAGAGACTATTTATTTGTTCAGTGTATTTATTTTTATTATCTTTAAACTTAGAGGTCATTTAAATTAACGTTTATAAGTAATAAACATTTGCTTATCAGATAAAAATTCCAGCAAATATTTTAATCTTAAACATGCTAATGGGAAGCCTAGTGCTTTTTCATTCTCTTTTTCTTTTTTGGGGGGGAGGGGTCCTGAACTCTGGGCCTGGGCACTGTCCCTCAGCTCTTCAGCTCAAGGCTAGCACTCTACCACTTGAACCACAACGCCACTTCAGCGTTTTTTCTTTTGCTTATGTGGTGCTGAGGAATTGAACCCAGGGCCTCATGCATACCACTGAGCCACTTTCCCAGCCCCTTTTTCATTCTCTTTAAAACATTTTTTCTTGTGTGTTGTTTTAGAAATCAACTAAAATACCTTGCACCTATGACAAGTATGTACTCTACCAATGAACTACACCCCAGCCCTTTGTAAAAAACTAACAACAATAGCATGCTTATCTGAGAGTGAGTCAAAGGATACTAAAGAGAATATAACATACTAGTTTCCTGATGGTGGGTACATGGCACATTCTTAGGCATTTAGTAGTTTAAATAGAAGCTATTTACTGGCTCCCACTTCTGCAGGTAAGAAACCTGAACACCACTCAGTTGGCTTCTCTTCTTGAGCTGTCACTATTCAGGAGTCAGCTGAGTGGTCTCTCTGGCAGATATTTTCCTTCTACATTCTTTTGTGTTATTGGAAGAGTTCAATCTTTTGTCTGGGGGCTATAATTACCTTCTACAGACCATTCTTCCCTTCTTGCCACATGTCCCTTTCATTCTAAACAAGCTAGGGAGAACTTCTTGCAGGTCAACTTTTTCATGCTTCAGATGTTTTTGGTGAGAAAATGCCCACACTCTGTGATTAAGGTCTCACCTCTCTAGGTTAGGCCTACCAAGAATGATTTCCCTTTATAAAGTTATCTGAGTTGTATAAAATGAGTCAAAGAATGTGTGTGTGTGTGTGTGTGTGTGTGTGTGTGTGTGTGTGTGTGTACGTACATCTGAAGCTCAGTTTGGAGGGCTATCTCATAATCCTGCCCACTTCATACAGTAAAAAACAATTATTTCTCATATATTCTTCAAGTCCATTCTACTGTGTTAACTCTGAGACATGTTCTCTCATATTTGACTGTATAGAAGAATAGATGCAAATGTAAAAAATCATATAACTGGGGCATGGGCCAAATGGTAGAATGCTACCTGGGTGCCTTTAATCCCAGCTACTCTGAAGATGGAGGTCCGAGGACTGTGGTTTAAGATCAACCTGGGGAAAAATTTGTGAGACACTCCATGTTAAGAGAAAAAGTCAAGCATGGTGGTACATGTCTCAACTCAGCTACAGTCAGAAGCACCAATAGGAAGATCATGTTCCATGCCAGCTCAGGCAAAAAAATGACCTTATTTGAAAAAATAGCAAAAAAGAGGACCAGAGGTTTAGGGTGGTAGAATTTAGCAAGTGTGAAGCCCTCTGTTTATATCCCAGTACAGACAAAAATCACATTAAATCATGGTTTGGATACATACTTGTGAAATTAATCTTGTGTCATGGCATATATCACTAGGTTTTATCATACAAATGTATGGCAAATTGCTTATTCACTACAGTTTTTATGGTTTTTCTTTTTCAAACTAGAATTTTTTTTGCTTCCTCCAATTGCAATATTTTTTTTTATTGTGAGGTAGAAGTTGTAGAAAGATTAGATAAATTAGATTCTATTTACTTCTGCCAGAGTTGCGTGTGTGTGTGTGTGTTTTGTCAGTTGTGGGGCTTGAACTCTGGGCCTGGGCACTGTCCCTCAGCTCTTCAGCTCAAGGCGAGCTCTCTACCACTTGAGCCACACAGCCACTTCTGTTTTTTCGGTGGTTTATTGGAGATAAGAGTCTCATGAACTTTCCTGCCCGGACTGGCTTTGAAGCTCAATCCTCAGATCTCAGCCTCATGAGTAGCTAGGAGTATAGACATGAGCCTCCAGTGCCTGGCTTGCCAAAGAGTTTTGAGCCTTGTTCTAACAGATAAATTGATGTCAGATCATTGTCACAGGTTTCGACAGGTCTATTTCAGTTGTGCCTTCAGTACTAGAGTGCACTTCTGATTCCTGAGGGGATTTGGTCCTTACTCCAAAAATGAGAGCCATCTAGGGTTATAGTAGAGATCCTGAGCATTTTTCAGCCCTTGTAATTGAAAGACTTAAAATTCAAGCTCTGAGCTGGGTGCCAGTGGCTCATGCCAGTAATCCTTAGCTGCTCAGGAGGCTGAGATTTGAGGATCATGGTTCAAAGCCAGCCTGGGCAGGAAAGGCTGTGAAACTCTTTATCTCCAATAAACTGCCAGAAAACTGGAAGTGATACTGTGGCTGAAGTGGTAGAGTGCTTGCCTTGAGCTGAAAAGCTGAGGGATAGTGCTCAGACCCAGAGTTCAAGCCCCATGACCGATGACAAATAAAAATAAATGAATGAAATTTAAAAAATTCAAGCTCTGCCCAACTCCCATGATGATGCTCTTGAAACGTGCTCAGCTCTTCCTGTTGACCTCTAGCTGGGATCTTTGTACTCTTTCTATACATAAGTAATTTCACTGGGTTTGAGGGTAGTGTGTTTATTGAATTTGGATTCCTTCCATTCTAGGATTCATCTACTTGGTTTTCTTGCTTTATTTCCCAAATGACTTAATTAATCCAGTAAGATTGTTAGTTCCTCCCTGATCTCCATCTTCTCTGTGTCATAGTGACTGGAGTTTCCATCAGGGGAATGAATGTACATCTCATGAAATAGATTAGTCTCTTGAGTTTGATTGTTTTTTCCTTCCTCAATGTCTGCATGCCTTTTCCTGCACTCAAAACTTAAAAGGATTGCTGATATTGTCATAGTAGGGCTGAAGGATTGATATGTTTCTCTAGCATGACTAGAAGGTGGAACTAGAGTACCTCTTTTCATATAATATTTAAATGTATGATTTTCCTTGTTATTAAAAATTGGTCTAGGTAGAGTGCTATCCCTGAGTACAGAGAGGCTCAGGGACAGAGCCCAGACCTTGACTTCAAACCCCAGGACCAGCCAAAAAAGAAGAAGAAGAAGAAAAAAGGTCTATGACATATTTAATGACTTTTTAAAAAACTCTTGATTTCGTGAGTGAATATGCCATAGTTTACATGGATATCTTCCTGGTTTTAGAAAGGTATCATGGTTTTAATGTTATAAATCATAATTTTATAAATTATATTATACTTTTATCATATGAAAGGAATCAGAAATGTATAGTTTGAAGGTCTGCACCTATTTTGAAGTTCTGGACCCTCAATTTTTTTTTTTTTTGCAAATTAATATAATCACTTGTATCTTAGTTGAGGTATAAAGACCATAAGATTTTTTTGTCTCTTTGATAAATTGTATTTATCCATTCAAGTGTTACCATATTCTATTTCAGCCAAAGTTATTTTAATTATTACTATTGTATTTATTTTACTTCAGAAAAAAGAAAATATCCGTTCCTTGACTATGTGTGGGCATGTTGGTTTTGAGAGTTTACCCGACCAGCTGGTTGACAGATCCATTCAGCAAGGCTTCTGTTTTAATATTCTCTGTGTGGGTAAGTAGCACTAACTCTTCTGAGCTCTTCCTTCATGTTCTTTGTGCTCACTTCAATTAGCAGTTTTAGGTCATGATCCCAGAGGTTTTCTCAATTGCTTAAATCTTATTTATTTGTTTTTCTATCTAAGCATTTTAACATTTTAGTGCTCTCTTAAGAGTTCTGTGTAGCTTAGAATATATACTCATTTCTCAACTCTGATAATGACATAGGACCCTTGAAACAAGTCTAGGAGTTCACAGTTATATTTCTCTCAGCCATCCTCTATATCTGTCCTTTTATATCTTTTAGGAGAAACTGGAATCGGAAAATCGACATTGATTAACACATTGTTTAATACCAGTTTCGAAGAACACGAATCCTCCCATTTTTGTCCAAATGTTAGACTTAAAGCCCAAACATACGAACTTCAGGAAAGTAATGTTCGATTGAAATTGACTGTTGTGTATACAGTAGGATTTGGTGACCAAATAAATAAAGAAGAGAGGTATGTGCTTTCTCCTTGCAGTAAAGCAAGTTTTCTTATTTAAAAATCAAGACATTTTCCTTCTTTTCCTTTGAGCAATGATTTGAGTTTCCTCTCTGGTAACCCATACCTTTCCTCCTCCCAAACACTTATGGCTCACAGTCAGTCAATAGTTGGCTGGTTCCTTTGCTTTGAATCTGAGGGAGGTAAGAACATCATGACAGAGAGGGAATAATGGAACAGGACTTTTCACCTCATGGTAGTGGAGAGGGAAAAAGATTGGAAAGGCAAGTAATATTTTTTTCTTATTAACAAATTGATGATTTCCTTTTTCTGTTCTGTTGTCTTATTTCTTTAGAATAGTTTTATTTTTTAGACAGGACTTATCTTACTGAGGAAAACAAAATGTAATCTGTATAATGATATTTTATATATAATAGCCAAGTATTTGGTACATGTTTTTAAAATTATCTTTAAGTAGTTGTACAATATTATTATCTTTAAGTAGTTGTACAATGGAGTTGTTATTTAACAAAGCAGTTCATGAATACAATATATCTTGATCAGTGCATGGAAAGGACATAGCCAAGAAACTAAAAAGACAACCTACTGAATGGGAGATTTTTTTTCCAGGTAGACATCAGACACTGGCCTAATATCCAGAATTTATAGAGAACTTAAAATACTAAACCCTCAAAACACCAACAACTCGGATTATAAATGGGCTAATGAGCTAAAGAGTCTTCTCAGAAGAAGTAAAAATGGACAGCAGATCCATGAAGAAATGCTCAACATTTCTTGCCATAAAGAAAACGCAAATCAAAACAATATTGAGCTTTCATCTTATCCCAGTTAGAATGACTATTATCAAGAAAACAAACAGCAGATGATGGTGAAGATGTGAACAAGGGAACCCTAATGCATTGTTGGTGCATGTTGTATTTGTTTTTTGTTTGTTTTTAAAAATAACTAGTTACATTATCAAGCAGTACAGGAAAGTTTTTTTTTTTTCCAATTTTTTTTTTTTTTTTTTTTATTGTAAAGCTACTATACAGAGGGTTACAGTTACATGAGTGAGGTTATGAGTACACTTCCTCTTGAACATTGTTACCCCCTCCATTGTTTTCCCCCTACCATCCCCTCCCTCCCTCCCTTCCCCGAGGTTCTTTTTTTTTTTTTTTTGATTGTGATTAAATGATTACATAATTTCAAAGTCACAAGTTCATTCTAACTTCCCTGGAGCAAATTGTCTACCACAGTCTGTAATATATAACAGTGTTCACATGTTATATACCATATTTGTGATCAGCAGCATGAGGATATTTAGTAGTGGTTCAACCAGATGAGCGGGAGTTCTTTGTTTCTTAAGTCCTGTTAGTTTTGTCGTATCACCTAACCTTTTGGATTTAGCATCCACTTATCAGGGAGACCATGTACCGTTTGTCTCTTCGTTCTTGGCTTACCTCGCTCAACATGATTCCTTCTAGCTCCATCCATTTCCCTGCAAATGCCATTATTTTGTCATTTCTAATGGCTGCATAATATTCCATTGTGTATAGATACCACAATTTTTGGATCCATTCATCTGTGGTGGGGCACCTAGGTTGTTTCCATATCCTAGCTATTGCGAACAGTGCTGCAATAAACATGGAGGTGCACGTGTCCTTGTATATTGGTTCCTGTTGTTCAGGGTAGATGCCTAGAAGTGGTATGACTGGGTCGTAAGGGGGGTCAATCTTTAGCTTTCTAAGGACCCTCCAGACTGCTTTCCAAAGTGGTTGTATAAGTGTACATTCCCACCAGCAGTGTAATAGGGTTCCTCTTTCTCCACATCCCCTCCAGCATTTGTCGTTGGCTGATTTGTGGATGTGGGACATTCTGACTGGGGTAAGGTGGTATCTCAGGGTTGTCTTTATTTGCATTTCCTTCACCACCAGGGATGATGAACATTTCCTCATGTGTTTCTTTGCCATTTTTATTTCTTCATTTGAGAAGTCCCTCTTTAGTTCCCTTGCCCATTTAGTAATTGGTTTGTTAGGTTTGGGAGGGATTAGTTTCTTGAGTTCCCTGTATATACAGGATGTTAACCCCTTGTCTGATATATTGCTGGTAAATATTTTTTCCCAATTAGTTGGTTGTCTTTCTAGCTTAGTTGCGATAGATTTAGCTGTGCAGAAGCTTTTTATTTTAAGGTAGTCCCATTTGTCGAGTCTCTCTCCAACTTGTTGTGACCCTGGGACTCTGTTCAGGAAGTTCCTTCCTGTGCCTATTAGTTCAAGTGTCTCTCCTACTCTGTCCTGCAGTAGTTTCAGAGATTCAGGTTTAATGTTAAGGTCTTTAATCCATTTTGAGTTGATGTTGGTGTATGGTGATAGGCTGGGGTCCACTTTTAGTTTTCTGCATGTGGCTGCCCAGTTTTCCCAGCACCAGCGGTTGAAGAGGCTGTGTTTCTTCCATTGTATGTCTTTGGCTCCTTTGTCGAATATCAGCTGGCTGTAGGCCTGTGGATTTATATCTGGATCTTCTATTCTGTTCCATTGGTCTTCGGGTCTGTTTTTGTGCCAGTACCATGCTGTCTTTGTGATTATAGCTCTGTAGTAGAGTTTGAAGTTCGGCATGGATAGCCCTCCCATATTGTCTTTATCCCCTAGAATTGTTTTGGCTATTCTAGGTCTTTTGTTGTTCCATATAAATTTTTGGACTGTTTTCTGTATTTCAGTGATGTACGTCATTGGGATTTTAATAGGAATTGCATTGAATTTGTATATTAGTTTTGGAAGTATCACCATCTTTACTATATTAAGTCGGCCTATCCAGGAGCATGGGAGGTCTTTCCATTTCCTAGTGTCTTCTGCGATTTCTTTCTTTAACTTTTTATAGTTCTCATTAAATAGTTCTTTTACATCTTTGGTTAGGTTAATTCCTAAATATTTTATTTTTTGGGAGGTTATTGTGAATGGGGTTGCTCCCTTTATTTCCCTCTCTTCCTGTGCGTTATCAGTGTATAGGAAGGCAACTGATTTTTGTGGGTTTATTTTGTATCCTGCTATTTTGCCGAAGTGTCTTATGATTTCTAAAAGTTTGGGGATGGAGTTTTTGGGATCGTGGAGGTATAGTATCATGTCGTCTGCAAAAAGGGATAGTTTCACTTCTTCTTTCCCTATGCGGATCCCTTTAATGTCTTTTTCTTGCCTTATTGCCCTGGCTAAGGGTTCTAGGACTATGTTGAAGAGGAGTGGAGACAGTGGACATCCTTGCCTTGTTCCTGTTTTTAGGAGGATTGGTTGTAGCTTTTCCCCATTAAGTATAATATTGGCTATTGGTCTGTCATAAATGGCTTTTATTGTTTTTAGAAATGTTCCTTCTATTCCTATTTTCTCCAGAGCTTTTAGCATGAATGAATGTTGAATTTTATCAAAGGCCTTTTCTGCATCTGTGGCGATAATCATGTGATTCTTGACCTTGGCTCTGTTGATATGCTGGATTACATTTATTGACTTACGTATGTTAAACCATCCCTGTGTCTCTGGGATGAAGCCTACTTGATCATAGTGTATTATTTTTTTTATGTGTTTCTGGATTCTGTTAGCTAGAATCTTGTTAAGGATCTTTGCATCTGTGTTCATCAAGGAGATTGGCCTGTAATTCTCCTTTTTGGTTGGGTCTTTGCCTGGTTTGGGGATGAGTGTGATATTGGCTTCGTAGAATGAGTTTGGGATAGCTCCCTCCTTCTCTGTTTCTCTGAAGAGCTTGAGGAGTATGGGTATTAGTTCTTGTTTAAAGGTCTTATAGAATTCTGCTGTGAATCCATCTGGTCCTGGGCTTTTTTTTGTTGGAAGACTTTTGATAGCTTCCTGTATCTCATTATAGGATATTGGCTTATTTAATTGGTTAACTTCTTCTTTGCTCAGTTTGGGTAACTTGTATTTCTCTAAAAATGCATCCATTTCCGCCAGATTTTCTTCCTTTAGAGAGTATAGCTTTTGAAAGTAGTCTGTTAGAATTGTTTGGATATCTTGGGTACGTGTTGTGATGTTTCCCGTGGCATCCCTAATCCTATTAATATGGGTTTCCTCTCTTCTTTTTTTAATTAATCTTGCCAACGGGCCATCAATTTTGTTTATTTTTTCAAAGAACCAGCTTTTTGTTTGGTTTATTTTGGTTATGGTTTTCTGATTTTCTAATTGGTTAATCTCTGCTCTCAATTTGGTTATCTGGCTTCGTCTAGTAGCTTTAGGTCCCATTTTTTCTTGTTTTTCTAGCTGTTTTAGTTGCAACATGAGATTATTTACTTGGTCTGTCTCCATTCTCTTGATGTGGGCACTGAGGGCAATAAATTTGCCCCTCAGGACTGCTTTTGCTGTGTCCCACAAGTTTCTTTGTGAGGTGTTTTCATTTTCATTGAGTTCTAGGAAATGCTTTATTTCTTCTCTGATCTCTTCTGTTACCCAGGCCTTGTTAAGGAGTGTGCTGTTCAATTTCTATGTATTAGAGAAATTTCTGTGGTATGCTTTGTTATTGAGAGCTAGCTTGATTCCACTGTGGTCAGATAGGATACAGGGGATTATGTCGATCCCTTTGTATTTGCTTAAGTTCCTTGAATGAACTATGATATGGTCTATTTTGGAGAAAGTTCCATGAGCTGCTGAGAAGAATGTGTACTGTGTTGTTTTAGGGTGAAATACTCGGTAGATGTCAGTTAATTCCGCTTGAAGTATGGCCTCACTTAATTCGGTAGCTTCTTTGCCAATCCTCTGGTTGGTAGACCTGTCCTTTGGTGAGAGTGGCGTGTTAAAGTCTCCTAGTATTATCGTATTGGGATCTATTTTATTCTGTAAGTTTGAGAGCATTTGTTTAACATATCTGGGTGCACCAATATTTGGGGCATATAAGTTGATGATGGTTATATCCTCCTCTTGGATTGTTCCCTTTATTAATATGTAGTGCCCGTCCTTGTCTTTCTGTACTGATTTTAATGAAAAGTTTATTTTGTCAGATATCAGGATAGCTACACCTGCTTTCTTATTGGGGGAATTTGATTGGTAGATCCTTTTCCACCCCTTCACTCTGAGTTTGTTTGTATGTTTGGCTGAGAGGTGCGTCTCCTGAAGGCAACAGATGGATGGGTCTTGTTTTCTGATCCAGTCCTCAGTTCGTTTTCTTTTAATTGGCGAATTCAGCCCATTTATATTAAGAGAAAGTATAGAGAGATGCATTGTTGTCCCTGCCGTTCCGTTTTCCTAAGTTTTTCTTCTTTCCTTTCCTCCTGTGCTTGCTCAGTTAGACTTTGAGTAATGCCTGTTTGGGGCAGGTCCCAGTTCCTGGTTGCTTTCTTCAGGTTGTGTCCCCCCTCTTAGAATTCTTTGTAATGCTGGCTTAATGTTTATGTATTCATTTAGTTTTTCTTTGCTATTAAAAGTTTTCAGTTCTCCATCGAATGTGAATGCTAGCTTTGCCGGGTATATCAGTCTGGGTTGGCAGTTATTGGCTCTCAGGGCTCGTATGGTGCTTTCCCAGGCTTTTCTTGCATTCATTGTTTGTGTGGAGAGATCTGCAGTGATTCTAATTTTTTTCCCGTTGTAGTATAGCTCCTTCTTCATTTTTGCTGCATGCAGGATTGTTTCCTTATTATTCAGATCCATCATTGTTACTATTATGTGCCTAGAAGTGTTTCTCCTGGGATCTTGCTTGTTGGGTGTTCGATAAGCTTTTGTGATGTAGTTAAGATGGTCGTTTTTGAGGTGGGGAAAATTTTCATTGACTATCTTGTTAAATAGGTGTTGCATTCCCTTGCTCTGGAATTCCTCACCTTCGTCCACTCCGATTATGCAAAGGTTAAATTTTTTAGCATTATCTGCTTGCTCTTGAATTTCCCTTTGGTTTAATTTGAGTGATTTTTCCATATCTGTCACTTTTTGGTCCAGTTGGTGTATTCTGTCTTCTGTATCTGACACTCTACCTTCCATTTCATTCACTCTGTTGACCGTGGCTTCTATTGTGGTTTGCAAGGTGGAAATGGATCCCTTTATGGATTCAATGTTGGTTCTCAGAGTACTGATCTCACCTCTCAATGAGGTGAGATCAGTATGCATTACCTCTAATTTGGCGTTTATCTCACTTCTTACTGAGGTTTGTGCAGTTTCTATTTTTGCATCCAATTTTTGTTTGATATCCTGTATATCTTTTGATAGTTCATCCTTGTGCTCTTTCAATTTCTGATCCATTTCTCGCTTTATTTCTTGAGTCATTGCCTCCAGCAACCCTTGGATGTAGTTTTTGTCTTCCATTCCTGCTTTGCTCCCACTGGGGCTCTCCCCTGCGTGGCTGCTGGCTTTTGAGGTGAGCTTGCTGTCCTGGGTAGTGGTAAACCTTGTCATTTTTCTCTGTGATTTTCGCATGGGGGTTCAGGAGACTGCTCTTCAATCTTGTTTTGGTGTGTCTGTCTTTGCTTGGTTGCTGATTCTGTATTGGTAGAGAGAGTCTGTGCCTGATCTGGATTCTGTTGGGAGCCTATTTCCAGCTGCTATTCACTTAGGATTCTCAGCTCTCTGCTGTAGCAATTCCCGCCTTTGGAAGGGTTGAGCAGCCTAGACTGCTTGTGTTTGCTCCTGCGGGTGCTCTTGGGAAGATCAGATGCTCTGGATGCACTCTCCCAAATACTGGAGTCTGCTATGGGCTCCTGATGTGTTTTTGTTTGTTTGTTTTGGGCTGGTTGTGGGCTTGAACTCTAGGTTTGGGTGCTGTCCCTCAGCTCTTCAGCTCAGGGCTGGCACCCTACCATTTGAGCCACAGCCCCACTTCTGACCCTTTTTGCTTTGTTCAGGTGCCGGTCCCCTGGCCTGGTTCCGGCCCCAGCCTGGAGCGCGCTCGTTAGGCCTGTGCTAATGTGTATACCACCTTGGTTATGCAGCCTGGAGGACACAGTTCAAATTTCTTCTACTGTTGGTAGTCTTGACCCAGGGGCACTGTTCCTGGCTTGAGCATTTAAGCTCCCTTCCAGGAGCGCTCTTGCTCTGGCCTGGCCAGCAGAGTGTGCTCCACCGGCTGGTGGAGCTCTGGAACAGTTCCCAGTTTTAGTGGGTCCTGTGGTCCGGGTGTTGGGGTAGGGAGTCTAGGTCAGGGTCTGGGGATTCCCTCCAGCTCTGGTCTCCCTTCATGGATTCCCTGTCCCCTGATGGGTACTCACCCTGTAGGTCGTCAGTTGTTGTTGCAGTCCGTCAGTTGTTGTTGCAGTCCGAGTTCAGTTGGGGTGGTTGCGGGCTGGGTTGGGCGGCCCCCCGCCGGGTCGTTGCGATCGCGATTGGGCGGGTGGTCTGCGGACAGGTCCCTTTGTGGCGCTGCTGGTGCTGGGCGGCTTTGGCGGGATGGAGCCTCTCCGCTCCGGTGGAGAGTGATGGGTGGGGTGGGATCCTCCTGGAGACTCCCGGCTGGTAGGTTTCTCTGTTCCTGGCGATCCGCTGTTCTGCAATCCGGTACCTGGTGATCTGCAAGCAGCCCCCTGTGTCTCTGGGCTCCAGCAGCCCCCGCCGGGCTGGCTGGCCGGCGGCTTGGCGCACTGCCGCGCGGCCAGTAAAGGTTGGGGGAGGGGTCTTCGCTCTTCTCTGTTCTGAAATTCTTCTTTTCCTCTCGTTCTTTTTTTTGTTATTTTCCACCTCTGGTTTTTCTCTGAGTGTTCGTCTTTTTGTTGTTGTCGGTCTCTTGGGGAGATTAAAGGTTGGAACTCGAACTCTCTTTTTGGTTGGAGAGAGCTGTGGCGTTTCCCTACTGCCCCGTCGCCATCTTGGTCCCCCCTCAGGAAAGTTTTTGATAGTGAAATTTTAGATTGCATTTTATGCCATTATTTCTTGTCTATATTTTTTCCTATGATATAAAGATTATCAATTTAAATAGATAAACAATACATTTTAATGTCTTCCCTTTTAAAATGCTTGTATTTTTGTTACCATAAGTAATTTCCCAGAGGGAACCATTGTGTACAAATTGACTACTCTGTGATACAAGTTAGAGCCCAGCCTTTCAAGCACTACTCTTAAATATAAAAATGTCAGTCATGTAGACCTTTTTTAAAAAAAAAAATCTATTTTTTTTTTAATTTTACTGTCAAGGTGTTGTACAGAAGGGTTACAGTTACATACGTAAGGTAGTGAGTACATTTCTTATTAAACATTGTTACCCCCCTCCCTCATTTTTCTTTCACTATCTCTTCTCCCTCCAAGTTGTAAAGTTCATTTCCAATATGTTGTCTTGTGAGTATTGCTGTTGCATTGGTTTGCTTTTGTCCTTTGTCTCACCATTTTGTTGTTCCCCTTCCCTTCCTTAATTCAGATAAATGTATATACAATACATAGAATACCAAAATCAAATACAGTGACAATAAGGGATAAGCCATAGGGGGGAAAAAAAGAAAAATGCAAGAAAAAAGAAATAACTTCACATAGTACATTAAAAACAACAACAACAAAGAAAAATCTCTTGTTTCCATATCTTAGAGTTCATTTCACTTAGGATCACCTTTTGTGGTCATATGTACATACCTATTGTGATCCTGTAGACCTTGACCAAAGCTTTTTGAGTTCTTTTTTTTCTTCCCTCCTTCCCTCTCTCCCTTCTTTTCTTCCTTCCTAAGCTTTATTGACAGAGAAAATTTACAATAAATTATACTAATTTTAAGTACAAAGGTCAAATACATCTTGCTTTAAATGTTATTCATAATTATAAGAAGAATATCATCTTAGAGAAAATCAATGTTTAAATGAAAGTATTTTTAAGTAACTTGGACATAGGACCAATATTTGTAATCTGCCAAGTAATTTGCATTGTATTATGTACCAAGACTCACAAAATAGATAGAATTTTCTATTATGGTAACATGGATGTTATGTTAAATACTTACATAATTGTATTTTTCAGCTACCAACCAATAGTTGACTACATAGATGGTCAGTTTGATGCATATCTCCAAGAAGAACTGAAGATCAAGCGTTCTCTCTTCAGCTACCATGATTCTCGTATCCATGTGTGTCTCTACTTCATTGCTCCCACAGGCCACTCTCTGAGGACACTGGACCTCTTGACCATGAAGAGCCTAGATAGCAAGGTGGATTTGGAAACTTAAGCAGCTTTACTATGTTTCTGAACTATTAAACTATCTCTATGTTAGATATATGTATAATAGCTTTTATTATTTCCATCTTTAAAACATTTGATAAGTTTGTCTTATTTTCTATGGAAACTCAGTTTGGAAGACAAGATATAGAGATAGAACATTATAGTTTTAGTTCCTTTTGAAGTGATTGAGTTGCATGTCAGAACATGAGCAGTCTCTTTAATATGGAATTCACTTCACACTGATTTTACATTCTGACACTGTTAAATGAGAAGAATAACTTCATTGACAAAGATTAAAGTGTTAATGTTTTATCACAGATTACGGTAACACGTTTAAATTTAGACAATATAAAAATTATTTTATTTTTATAGAGCTTAGGATCAAACTCAGAGCCTTGCATTTGCTAGGCAAGAGCACTTCTGTGAGCTAAATCTCCAACCCTCATTTTTAATTTTTGAGGTTAAAAAGATCTGTGTAAATTTAGGGACTTACAAAGCCAGTCATTTTAATAACTTAGTCTGTTTGTGTAGCATTTCATGTGTTTAAGAAATATAGAACTAAGGGTATAACTTTTTTTTTTTGGTCCAGTCGTGGGCCTGAACTCTGGGCCTGGGTGCTGTCCCTCAGCTCTTCAGCTCAAGGCTAGTGCTCTACCACTTGAGCCACAGCGCCTCTTCTGGCTTTTTTTTTTTCTGCTGAGGAATCGAACCCAGGGCCTCATGCATGCAAGGCAAGCGCTCTACCACTGAGCCACCTTCCCAGCCCAAGTATAACTTTTTATTAGCTGGAGGGAAGTAACAGTGCAATGTGTATAAAGATTGTAAATTTGATGTCAGTGGGGACTAGTTTCAAATACTGGCTTTGCTACTTATTAACTATTTAATATTGGACATGTGCCATCTAAGCCTCAGTTTCTTTTCCTTATGTAAACTAGGGAGAAGACCTACATCAAGGTAGAGATCTGAAAATTAATTATATTAATCCATTTAAACAGGATTTAACGAATAGATATTCCCAATAAGAATTAGCTGTTACATTACTTTGAGAGGTTGAGATAATGGTGTATAAATCTTTTATTATATTATGCATGTGGTATGCAAAATTTATAGGCTTGCATTCATCTTCTCCCTCTTCAACAGCTAGAGTATAGCTGTATATCATAGAACAGATGTTTGTTTTAGTAGTGTATAAATATGTGTCATGGTTTTTTCCCAGCTTTTATAGTTGAAAGTATTTTTTATTTTTTATGATAAATTGTAAACTACTCTGTAAGTGTTATTCTCTATAAGAAGATTGTGTCAGAGTTAGTTGGGGCCCTACCAAGCTTAATATTTCTATCATATTATAAAATAGGTAGTAGAAGCCTGGATGTAGTGACCAGTGCCTATAATCCCAGCCATATGGGAGGATCACTTGAGACCAGGAGTTTGAGGCCAGCCTAAGCAACTGAACAAGAGCCTATCAAAAAGTCCCAAGAATACTAATATTTCACTTGAGAAAAGTAAAAATAATAACATTGGCACTGGGTGTTCAGCTTAGTAATAGAGCACAAGCCTAGGTTGGGTTTTATGCCTAGTACTGAGAAGACTGAAATAAGACAGTGCCAGACAGGAGGTATATCTCAAGTGGTAGAATACCAGCCATGAACAAACAAGCTGAGTAAGGGCTACAAGGCCTGATGAGTTCAAGCCATAGTATCAGCATAAAATAGAGAATGTTTGATAACTACCTTATTCAACTTCAGCCCTAACTAGTAGGTTCCAGTGTTGTTTTTTTTAATAAAATGGAGCTAGTGAGATAACTCTTAAGATTAAATCTTCTTCTTTTTTTGGGGGGGGGGCGGTTGTGGGGCCTGAACTCTGGGCCTGGGTGCTGTCCCTCAGCTCTTCAGCTCAAGGCTAGTGCTCTACCACTTGAGCCACAGCACCACTTCCGCTTCCGACTTTTTTTCTTTTTGCTTATATGGTGCTGAGGAATCGAACCCAGGGCCTCAGGCTTGCAAGGCAAGCGCTCTACCACTGAGCCACCTTCCCAGCCCCTAAGATTAAATCTTCTATGAAGGCTACCTGAGATAAATTAAAACACATTTAGCTCAATGCATGCACATAGAAACACGTTTACTAATAATTCCATTACTTTAAAATTTTTTTTATTAATAAATATAGTCTTATAATATTCACATTGGGTATTGGAAGTACTGGCAAACCCAGCCACTGTTAGCCTTCAAAAGAGTTTGAATGTTAGCCAAAAACATTTCATACTTATATGTTCCCTCCGTGGTTTTTCAGGATTAAGCAGAGGAAACAATTAGCACTTGTTGAACAATCCAGGTTGCTAACCCCTACAAGAAGTAGTCCTAGATGCATATTATACACAGAGACATAAAATATTACCCAATATTATCTTTTTTTTTTTTTTTTGGTCGGTCATGGGGCTTGAACTCTGGTACTGGGCACTGTCTCTGAGCTCTTCAGTTCAAAGCAAGTGCTCTACCGCTTCAGCCATGGCACCACTTCCAATTTTCTGGTGGTTAATTGGAGATAACAGTCTCATGGACTTTCCTTCCTCAGGCTGGCTTTGAACCACGATCCTGAAATCTCAGCCTCCTGAGTAGCCAGTGTTATAGTCATGAGCCACCTAGCTACAATATTATCTTTTGAACATATCATTTCATTCAAACCAAAATGAAATTTTTCTTGTTATTGGCATTATATACTAATTTAAAGATGTGGCTACTTTCTTCTTTTTTACACATTAACAAATTCTAAATTTTGGATAAATTTTTAATAAAATGTTCTGTCTTTAGTTGTTATACAAACCAATCAGAGTGCTATAACAAGTTTATATAGATAACTGTCTTGTTTCATTTACTTGACTTGGCACTTAATATAAATGGATAACAGTATTTTTGTATGAATAGCTGATAACCACAAGCCACCTGGCAGGCCTAGGGAAATCCTGGTTTACATAAGAACTCTATATAAAAATAGGAGGTGGCGATGCTGGCTTCTTTCAGTTCCCCCAAGACTCCTCTGGTAATTCTCCTTTGTTCCTAAAAGCTAAAGACGTGACAGGCAAAGTTATTTGGCCTAAACTGAGTAGTGACAAGTAGCCATCCTTGACAACATCTGATATTTTCCCCTCTTTGAAAAGCATGTAAACATTGATATTTGGCATTTAATCTATGTCCACAGTTTATTATAGATACAATTGTAGGTTATAAATTTGGTGTAATTTATTGATTGCGTATAGAATATTGAAATCAAAAGACTTAGCATCAGAATTTTTATGGACCTTTGTAACACTACTGTGAAACCTGTTGTTGGAACATTTTCTCCCAGTTAAGTTCACAGATAGTTGGAGAAATGTTTATCTCCTTTGGTCCTATGGAAGGCTAATTAATCCAGATAGACACATTGAATCAATATGAAATTCGAAGAAAAAAGTAAGGCTGGGAATTGTAACTTAAATTTTTACTTTTATTCTGAAAATTCCACTGTGGTCTCATTCTTGACACATATCTGGTTAACCTTTTTTTTAAATTAAAAGCAAACATTAAAACAATAAAAAAACATCTAGGTTTGTGGAAACATCAATCTTTTGTGGGTACATTAATCTCTTACAGGACCAAATTTACAAGTCATGAACATGACCCCACATCTCTTCTTCTCTAGCAGTGATAGGATTTGAATAATGCTGAGGAATTGTTCCTTTGCATCCTAAAGGCTTTTAGTAATAGTGGCACTGTTTCCTTCCTGGGCCATCTAGGCAGGAATCTCTAATGACAAAGATGCTGCTGAGATAGAGACGAGGCTTAAATGAGAGGCAGAAAGAGAAATGTTATCTGTTTGATTTCCTGACGGATGAATCACCTAATTACTTGGAACTTAGATTATTAAGAAATATAATTAAACAGGTGATTTGGGCTTACTGTTTATGACATTTTACTTATTTTGTGTGCAGTGGACTTAGAGAAAACATGAGGTTTCTAAGCCTAAATCCAAATGAAGATTAATTTTATGTGATCTCTGCTTTCTAAAAATAATTATTATAAAAAGCCAGCATCTATAGGAATGGTTGTGCAAGGTGTGTGTGTGTGTGTGTGTGTGTGTGTGTGTGTGTGTGTGTGTGTGTGTGTGTGTGTGTGTGATTATCTTGATCAGAAGTCTGCATACTTTTTCTGTGAAGGGCCAGGTAGAAGTTTAGGCTTCAAAGTTACTTACCTAAGACGTTTAAATGAGAAAGCAACCTAAATGCATGCACATAATTTTTTTCAGCAGATATTTATTTATAAAAGCAGGCAATAAGCTGGGCCACAGTTTGCCAATCTTTGATATTGGATAAGGAAACTTATTATTGGAGACTGATTTTAGTTTATGGTAAAAATCAATTACTGTAGGACTAAAAATCCTCAATGATAAGATAGTGATTTCCTTTCTTCTTAATAGGTGAACATTATTCCACTGATTGCCAAGGCAGATACAATTTCTAAAACTGAATTACAGAAGTTTAAGGTCAAGCTCATGAGTGAATTGGTGTGCAATGGCGTCCAAATATACCAGTTCCCAACAGATGATGAGACTACTGCTAAGATCAATGCTTCAATGAATGTGAGCCTCCCGCCCCATTGAACATAAGTCTGCTTCACTGGTAAAATTAACCTAAGATTTGATTAGCATTGTGCTACAATATGCTTTCTTATCTGAGGTTTTGCTTCCTGAGGTTTGAGTTACCAGTAGCCTACTGTAGACTGAAATACTAAATGAGAAATACAGAAATAATAACTTTAAAAATGTATGTCATGGGGCTGGGAAGGTGGCTCAGTGGTAGATCGCTTGCCTTGCATGCCTGAGGCCCTGGGTTTGATTCCTCAGCACCACATAAGCAAAAAGAAAAAAGCCGGAAGTGGCACTGTGGCTCAAGTGGTAGAGCACTAGCCTTGAGCTGAAGATCTGAGGGATAACGCCCATGCCTAGAGTTCAGGCCCCACGACCAGACCCCCCCCCAAAAAAAAAAAAAGTATGTCATTCTGAAAAGCATGACACACTCATCACATAGGCATTGTGTCAGCTGATACCACCACAGAAAGGTGAGTATAGTACATTAAGACTATACAGCCTCTCAGAATGCTTTAAAATCTTTAAGTGAGTCCCTCTAAGCTAATATTGATACTTCAAATGTATTTTGAGTTTATTTTACCTAAGTTTTTTCTTCAAACTATAACATTTCTTAAATGTCTGATTGTATTTTGAAAAATCATGGGTTTTTAAGACTCCAGACAGACTTAACCACATATGGGCATTATTAATCTCCCTGGGACTTAAATTAAACTAGTACCTATCTTATGGCTTGTTATTAGGCTTAAATGATACTCCCCTGGTTATGTACCTAGCAGCGCATTCAGCATATTTCATATGCCAGTTGTACTCAAAAACCTAATTAGAACCGGGTGCTAGTGGCTTACACCTATGATCATAGCTACTCAGGATGCTGAGATCTGAGGATCGTGGTTCAAAGCCAGCCAGGGCAGAAAAGTCCGTGAGACTCTTATCTCCAATTAACCACCAGAAAACTGGAAGTGGTGCTGTGGCTCAAGTGATAGAGCGATTGCCTTGAGCTGAAGAGCTCAGGGACAGTGCCCAGACCCTGAGTTGAAGTCCCATGACTGAACAAAAATAAAAACACAAAAAACCTCCACAAATTAAATGTTTAAAAATAAAATAATATAGATGAAATCATCTTGATTTCAAATTATTTAATTGTCTTTAATTTTATTTCTTGTGTTTTCCAGAAAGGCACAACTAAGAAACCATGTTAATTACTAAATATACTTTTACATTAGACTTGGCCCCTATATCAACACACTTGAGATAGATTATGCTAGGCCATGAATTAAGCTATTGTGTTGGGTTTACAACCAAGTACTTTTCCTATCCTATTTTTTTTTTTTTTTTTCGGTTGTGGGGCTTGACCTCTGGGCCTGGGTGCTGTCCCTGAGCTCTTCAGCTAAAGGCAAGACCTCTACCACTTGAGCTACAGTGCCACTTCCAGTTTTCTGGTGGTTAATTGGAGATAAGAATCTTACAGACTTTCCTGCCTGAGTTGGCTTTGAACTGCAGTCCTCAAATCTCAGCCTCCTGAGTAGCTAGGATTACAGGCGTGAGCCACCAGCACTGGCTTCTAGTCCATTCTTTATACTTGATTTCATTTGACTAAAACCCATACTTCCTAATTTTATTTACATTATATTTCCATACTCCCTGTAATCTCTTGCCTTTAAATTGTATAGCATGTGTTTTACCAGCATCAACTTGAAACTTATGTATTATTTTACACTAGTACCGTATGTACTTTTTGTATTATTTTAAATGAGTACCTTACAAATGTACATACTATAAATGCAGATGTCTATACTATATATCCATGTAATTTCTTCAGTCTTTTCTTTGTTTTTTTTTTTGGGTCCCATCGTGGGGCCTGAACTCTGGGCCTGGGCACTGTCCCTCAACTCTTCAGCTCAAGGCTAGCGCTCTACCACTTGAGCCACAGCGCCACTTCTGGCTTTTTTTTTCTTTTTTGCTTATGTGGTGCTGAGGAATTGAACCCAGGGCCTCATGCATGCAAGGCAAGCGTTCTACCACTGAGCCACCTTCCCAGCCCCTTCTTTTTTTATGATAAAAATAATTGATGGAAACTAACTACTACCCTAAAATACTTTTTTGTATTCCCAATAACATAATGCTTTGTAGTGGGAAATGCTCAATAGATATTTTCTTTATAGAGCCCCCAAAATAACTCTTGTAGAACAGCTAGTACATACCCAAAGCCAAGTTTTAAATCTTGAGGCATGGAAGGAAGCCCATTTGATTTTAGTAGATGGTTATTTAATGAATTTTTCTCATAATTTTTGAGCTAATCTATTATTGCATTGGCATGAGAAAATAAAATATATATTATGGTTCTTTTTTCAGGGACATTTGCCATTTGCTGTTGTAGGAAGTATGGATGAGATAAAAGTTGGAAATAAGATGGTCAGAGCTCGCCAATACCCTTGGGGTATTGTACAAGGTAAATGAGATACATGATGACTTTTTTGTTGTGGTTGTTTTTGGAGACAGGATCTTACTGTGTATTGACCCAGAACCTGCAGTGCTTCCACCTTACCCTCTTGCTTGCTAGGATTGCAAGTGTGTACCTCCATGAGTAGCTGATTGTGTGTGTGCGTGTGTGTGTGTGTGTGTGTGTGTGTGTGTGTGTGTGTGTGTGTGTGTGAATTTAATAGGGCCTGGGCATTATCCCTGAGCTTTTTGCTCAAGGCTAGTGCTCTATCATTTGAGCCACAGCTCCACTTCTAACTTTTTTTTTTGGTAGTCTATTGGAGATGAGAGTCTCTTGGACTTTCCTGCCCAGGCTGGCTTTGAACCACAATTCTCAGATCTCAGCCTTCTGAGTAGCTAGGATTACAATTGTGAGCCACCTGAAACTTGTCTCATATAAACAAAAAAGTAAATGAATGAGTAAATAAATAGGTAAACACACTAAAGACTGTTGGTCATGATAGCATGTATTTATTTTTAGTCTTCTGATAACCATAGGAACCATGTAAGTGTAATCACTAATTTTTAATATTTAACACAGGTTCATAAATGCTATATTAGAGAAAAAAGGAAGTGATTATTATAGCTTACATAAATAGTATTCTTAAGTTTGCAGTTTATTACTTTAAAGGGAATTAATATTATATGCTTTTTATAAAGCACTATGTGAAATGTCTTCAGTATGATTTTGTGAACTACTCACAAAGTATTAGTGAAGTAACTCAAACATGGGAACATAATAAAAGATATTTCTTTGCTATTTAGCATTATCTTCTGGCTACTAAATTTAAAGCAAATCCCCCACTCTGTTAATTAACATTGCCTATAATACATTGTAGAATGTAAGAGTTTCTTCTAAGGTTACTTGTATGATATAAGTAGTAGCTGTTAGTCTGATTGAGCATTTTACTATTAATTTCATTTATCTGTTTATTCAGCTTATACTATTATGTTCCTGAAGTTAAAAACTAGCATTGATCTTTTCTTACTTTTTCTGTCTAGTGGAAAATGAAAACCACTGTGACTTTGTAAAGCTGCGGGAAATGCTCATATGTACAAACATGGAAGATCTGCGGGAACAAACTCACGCTAGGCACTATGAGCTGTACAGGCGTTGCAAACTAGAGGAGATGGGCTTTAATGATATGAGCCCAGAGAATAAGCCCATCAGGTAAGGGGAAGAGGAAGGTAGAGGATTCTAACTCTCTTTCTCTCTCTTTCTTTTTGTGCTGGTACTGGGGCTTGAACTCAAGGCCTGAGCTTTTTTTTTTGTTCAAGGCTAGCACTCTACCACTTGAGTTATAGTTCCATTTCCAGAATTTTGGTGGTTAATTGGAGATAAAAGTTTCACAGGGGCTGGGAAGGTGGCTTAGTGATAGAGCGCTTGCCTTGCATGATAAGACCCTGGGTTCAATTCCTCAGCACCACATAAGCAAAAAAAGAAAAAAGCCAGAAGTGGTGCTGTGGCTCAAGTGGTAGAGCACTAGCCTTGAGTTGAAGAGCTGAGGGTCAGTGCCCAGGCCCAGAGTTCAGGCCCCACGACCGGACAGAAAAAAAAAAAGAAAGAAAAAAGTTTCACAGACTTTCCTGCCCTGGTCAGCTTTGAACCATGAACAATCAGCACCTAGCTAAGTTTTTAGTGGTTTAAATTTATATGATTCTGCATTGTTAGAGGTCAGTGAGGCTGTTTGTTGGTTTTTAATGCCCAAACTGAGCTCAGGGCCAGAGTCCTTACCATTAGTTTTTGTTCTCAAGGCTTGGTTCTTTTCCACTTGAATCACATCTCCACCTCTGGCCTTTTGGTGGGTTAACTGGAGATAAAAGTCTTATGGACTTTTCTGCACAGGCTGGCTTCTAACTCTGATCCTCAGCCTCCTTAGTAGCTAGGATTACAGATGTGAACCACAGTTCAACTTGAAAATTATACCCCTTTTATGTATCCAGAAGGATGAGAATGTGATTTTGGAAATCTCCCAACACTATGAGGTAGACTCATTTGACAAAGAATAATGTGCTTCTCCAATCCCGTTAAACCTGTTGCTTCTGAAAGGTCTTTAAGTTCTTGTCTGACTCAAAAGTAGTTGAATAGAGAGAGAGGAAGCCATAATTTCAATACATGCTCGCATCAATAACTGAAGGAAAACCCTTATTATTTGGTTTTATCTTTGTATTTATGTGAAACAGATGGAAGTACATGTAACTTTAACCACACACCAATCATTTGCTCACAAATTATATTAATGACCTAAAACATCAGTAGGCATTTAGCCTTGAAAAAGTTTTGGAAGGATTGAAACTTAGCCAAGCATTTTGTAGGAAAGAATGAAAGCACTTGCAGGGAGTCTCAGAACAAATTATTTCTTATAATAATATAATAGACTCTTGAGTATTTTAGGACCTACAAAGCTTCTTGTTCAATGATTAGAGCGTTCAGTGTTTTTATAAACTTATTTGGTAATTTTATATGGTGCTATATTCTTGACTTTTTTTAAAGACCTGTTCATGTGAAATTTTAATCCTTTGTGTACTAAATCAAATTTGATTTAATGTAATATTCTAGAACATTCAGTGTACTATAAACTTCTTTGATAATTTTTATAGTGATATCACTGATTTTTTTAAAGACATGTTCACAGAAAATCTTAATCCTTTCATTAAATCTTATTTGATATAGAATTCTAAAACATCATTTGCTTGGAGGAAAGCATTTGCTTGGAGGAAATCTTTAGGGTAGGCAGTCTTTTGAGTTCTGAGAGTAAGAATTCCTTTTACATTCCACGTTAGTCATTTTCCTGGCTATTAGCACATACCTAGAGTATGCACAACAGGAATGAGCAAGAGAGAGTGCAATCAGTGCTTCAATCACATTTGACTCTCATGGAATTTACAAGCTGTACAAGGGACTCAAAATGGAACTGGAGATTACATGGTAAATAACACTTGTGTGCAGCAAAGGGAAGTTACAAAAAGTATAAGGTGGAGTCAGGGATTCTAGTTTAAGCTGGAAAATTAATGAAGACTTCCTTAAGGCAGTGACTATTTGAGCTATAATAATTGGGAAGAACAGATCAAAGCATATGCAAAAGCCTGAAGGTAAAGAAAGAATGGAAGACTCTGGAAGATCAGAGCAGGGACAAGTAGTTGCTGGGGTAGTAAAAGCTTGATTAAGCAGGTGGGTAGGAGTTACAGCACAGAAGATCTAGTGAGTACTTTATACTCTATCCTAAAGGAAGACAAAGTGAAGACCAAGTTGTCTTAGGAGAGATACTATAGTTATGTTTTTTAATCACTAATAATATGAAGAAGGCATTGAAATAACTAGGAGAATATTTCTTGAACCAAAGCTATGACATTTAAAGTAAAGAGAACTGGACATATAAATGTAAATGTGAATGTAAATGTAAATATAAAATGTGAAATTGGAATTTATTGATTTCTTAGATATAAAAAGGGAGAAAAACAGGAGACTTGAGAAAGTGCTATGAGACTGTTTTTATCCTAGATTTATGTTTTCATTGGGTAGGTAGATGGTTAGGCCCTTTAAGACCTATATCTGATTAAAGTACTAGCTGTTTTGTTCAGTGGGGGTACTGACATCCAAGTGACAATGTCAGATAGGTATCTTCAATGCATCTTTAAGTGCTTATCTAGTACTCAGTGGAGAAAGGCTGGATCAAAGGAACACACTTAAGAGTCATAAGAAGACTGCTTGGAGGAAGAAGCCCATCTGCAAAGACAGGTGCCCCAGAAACAGCCTTGTTTGTCAATTAAATTTGTCAGCCCAATGGGCAGGTAAGAGATTGAGACGAGGATGGAAGAGCAAGAAAAATAGCAATGGTATGTGTTAGAATCCAATGTGAATATGTCAAGAAAGCAGTTGAGGGTCAGCTTTATGCTATACATGTATAGAAATCAAGACTTAAGAGTTGTTAAAGACAAAGAGCAACATAGAGGACACAGGTCAAAACTTACAGAGTCAAAACTAAACACAGTAGAAATTAGTTTGAGTCTAGCTGTAGAGTAAATGAACTAATGAAATTCTTGCCAGCCTATTGCATTTATAATTCATAAACCAAGAAGTGTTCAATAGGCCGAATTTAGGTCATGTTTCCATCTCTTATTTAGGACTCGACCTGAACCTGAGTGATTGTTTTGTCAGACTGTATCTCAGTGGTTAGAAGTAATAAAAAAAAAAAATAGTTCTATAAGGAGATGGGTAGGTAGTGAGCATGTTTCAGATTTGTCAGAAGATACTGGTACATAGTTCTGCTTATCTGAAGTTAAATAAGATCTATAAGGTTTTACAGCTTTGTTATATCATCTTTTTAAAACTAGAATTTTTAGTCTTCAGGAGACTTACGAAGCTAAAAGACATGAATTCTATGGTGAACGTCAGAGGAAGGAAGAAGAGATGAAGCAGATGTTTGTACAACGAGTGAAGGAGAAAGAAGCTATATTGAAAGAAGCAGAGAGAGAGGCAAGTATGGTGGTTTGATATGGCTTACGTTTTTTAGATGCCCTATGTAGTTGAGACATGAAGTGTCATTTTAAAAGTATTTTCAAGTCATTCAAAGAACTCATAGCCTGAAATCCAATTAAAATTTTGCTTTTGAGCAAATTTTCTTCCATTAGTAATGATTTACAAAATACCTTTTTTTTTTTTTTTGTCGTGGGGCCTGAACCCTGGGCCTGGGCACTGTCCCTCAGCTCTCCAGCTCAAGGCTAGCACTCTACCACTTGAGCCATAGCACCACTTCTGGCTTTTTCTGCTTATGTGGTGCTAAGGAATCAAATGTAGGGCCTCATCCTTGCAAGGCAAACACTATACCACTGAGCTACCTTCCCAGCCCTTACAAAGACTTTTAAGGAAAGAAGTTATTAAAGAGTAACATTAAATATAATGATTAGGATGTAGCTTAATAAAGTTTGTTTTAGAGTTACGGAAGTGCTTGTTTTTATTAATTAGGCAACTGTAAAAGCTGTGAAATAGTTTTCTTCTGAATAGAGTTAAATAGTCTAGATGACTTTGAGGAATGACCTGAAACAAGAATACATCATTAGTGAACTTCCAATTTTCTTTACTCCTAGTTCTTCAAGCACTGATTTTGTTTTTCATTCCAGTTAAGTTTTTCTTTTTTTTTTTTATGACCTGTCAATCTAACCCAATAGTGATAGTTAAGGAAATGGTCACATTCAAGTTGAGGTCAGATTGCTTATGGTACTTACAGTACATATTAAATGAACATTACAGGAAGTAGTTTTGTAAAAGTAGCAATAGTCTAATTTATATTATTTATAATTTGAATTTTGGTATTTTATTTTGGAAAAGTTTAGACAACAAAAGTGTAGTGAATCTCATCATACCTAAGAAAATTAATATGGTTGCCATTTTCTCAACACTATTTAAAAATATTTTTCACACAAGCTTTCTCATTTTGGAAATTTTAGTTACCCTCATTAATGATATATGAAACTCCCTTACTGTAATCTTTCAACATACTTTAGTGTACATATCAAAATGTAGCTTCAATATAAATAATTAGAGAAATTATTTGTATAAGAAGAAAAAGCCAGAAGTGGCGTTATGGCTCAAGTGGTAGAGTGCTAGCCTTGAGCTGGAGAGCTGAGGGACAGCACCCAGGCCCAGGGTTCAGGCCCCACAACTGACAAAAAAAAAGCTTTTGTAAATCATTACTAAGGGAAGAACATTTGCTCAATACAAATAATTTCCCAAAGGCTCCTTTCCCGAGTTTCACTCTTTACACTGCTCTCCTCTCCCACATTATAGAGATGCACATATGCTCAGAGAGTGTGGGGCTCCTTATACCACTAACTTGATTTTGTTCTTTGTTCTTTGTCTTCCCTCCTCTCACCCTACCCCTAATTTAATTCTTAAATCTATGGCTTCATCTATAGCTGTCTGCCATTGAGCTCTTTAAACCAAATCCTGTACCCCACTGGTCTGAATCACTATGAGGGCAATCTTACTCTTTAAGTACACCACATTATAGAGATGCACATATGCTCAGAGAGTGTGGGGCTCCTTATACCACTAACTTGATTTTGTTCTTTGTTCTTTGTCTTCCCTCCTCTCACCCTACCCCTAATTTAATTCTTAAATCTATGGCTTCATCTATAGCTGTCTGCCATTGAGCTCTTTAAACCAAATCCTGTACCCCACTGGTCTGAATCACTATGAGGGCAATCTTACTCTTTAAGCACACATACTTATCATTAATCTTTTTTCAAAATAGGAGCCATTTGAATAAGCAAATACTAAGGAGCTAATGCTTCTCTGAAAAGGTCACCTTTCTTTTTTTTTGGCTATGTTTTATTATCAAGATGATGTACAGTGGGGCTACAGTTACATAAGTAAGATAATAAGTACAGGTTGTACAGATCATTTCCAACATATTGTCTTATGTATATTGCTGTTGCATTAGTTTCCCCCTTGTCCTTTGTCTCACCATTCTGTTGTTCCCCTTTCCTTCTTTAATTCAAATAAACATATATGGAGTACCAGGGTACCAAAATCAAATACAGTGACAACAGGGGATATACAAGGTAACCGTCTTAATCATCTGTTTCAGCCTTACAATCCTCTGGCCCACGGAATGACCTACTGCATATTTAGAACCTATTTCATGATTTGTAGTAGATTGTGGTTCTCTTTGATTTCTATCTTCATTATCTGCTTTTAAATGAAATACTATTATATAACATTCTTTTTAGAACTCATATCTTATATATTTTATATGAATATTTGTTTGGTTGGTACCCAGAACTGAAAATATTAGTCTCATGTTTATCTTACTCAGATCAAAGGACAAAAATTATCTTTAGTTTTTTGATGTTCTGCTTAAATTGTTGGCAGGCATGGCATATTGCTGATTCATATGAAGCCCACTTAGTTTCTTTGATTATTATTTTTGTTGTTGTTGGTTGTGGGACCTGAACTCTGGGCCTGGGCGCTGTCCCTCAGTTCTTCAGTGCAAGGCTAGTACTCTACCACTTGAGCCACAGCACCACTTCTGGCTCTTTCTGCTTATGTGGTGCTGAGGAATCGAACCCAGGGCGTCATGCATGCAAGGCAAGCGCTCTACCACTGAGCCACATTCTTTAGCCCCCTTGATTAATTTTAAGGCAAGCCACCATTAAACAAGGTTCACCTGCATTCTTCCCCATACTTAACTCTGAGCTTTCACATGATGCTTGTGAAAGCCCCTACATCAGTATACAGGGTGACCACATCTTAAGTACATCTTCTGGATGATCTACTGGAGTTCCTTCCAGCCAAGGAACAGTGATTTTTTTTTTTCTGGTATAATTCCCAGTAAGACCACTGGACATCATGGAGTCAGGTACTCCTGATACCACTGTTAAGAACCTAAAATAAAAATGGATCACCAGGGATCATTTTGTCCTACAATCTGTATTGAGATTATTACTGCAGCTATGGACTTGTAGTCAGTCATGTTAGACAAGTTATACACTAATACACAAAATGACACAGGAAACAATTACATTAATTCAGAATGTTCTGCTAGGTAAACATTGTTTTGTCTTTTTAAATTTTTTTTAGTAATAGGTTTAAAAAAATTAGACAGCTAGTATAGGGGGCACTAAGCAACAATGCATTACATTCTTTTCCACCCTCTTTTTAATTATCCTCAAATGGTTGTTCAAAGGGGCTCAATTTAACATGTTGCTTCATGTGTACAATGAGCAGTGCCACCTCTCCCACCTTTTCATCTATCCCATCCCCCACTCAAGTTTCCTAATTCTATTTTGTATTTTCTTGGCCCATTATTCAGTTGTAAGGTGTTTGGGCTTGTACTTTTCCTTATACTAGTTCACTATGGAGAGTAGTGCTGTGATGAACATGGGTATTCAGGTGACTTTATTGTATTCTGATTTGCAAGCTTTAAGATACAATGCCAAAAGATAGTATCTCAGGATTATAGAGTAGTTCTAGTTTTTTTGTTTTGTTTTGTTTTGTTTTAGTCATCTCCATACTGACTTCCATCTACTATATTACCCCAACTTCCATTTGCACCAACATTGTATTAGTATTCCCTTTTCCTGTATCCTCATTAGCCTTTGTTTATATTCTTGATGATGGCCATTTTGACTAAAGTAAGTGTTGTTTTGAATTTGCATTTCCTTTATGGCCAAGATGCTGAGGATTTCTTCATGTATTTATTGACTATTTGTAGTTCAGCTTAGTTGCCCATTTACTAATTGGATTATTGACTCTGACAGTTCAGTTTTTGGAGCATGTATATTCTGGTTAGACATACAGCTGGCAAAAATTTTCTTCCATTCTGTAGACTTTCTTTTTAGCTTAGTGACTAAATCCTTTGAAGTGCAGAAGCTTTCTGGCTTGATCCAATCTCAATTGTCAATCCTTTGATCTGTCTAACTGAGCACTAGAGTTTTATTTGGAATGTTTCTGGCTATGTCAATATGTTCCAGTGTCTGTCCTACTCTTTTCCAATGTTTCAGTTTTTACATTAAAGTCTTGATTCACTTTGAATTTATATTAGTTCATGTGGAGAGTTAGGAATCCAGTTTCAATCTTTTGCCTGTGGATATCCGATTTTCCCAGCTCCATTTGTTGAAGAGGCTATCTTTTTTCAATTATATTTTTGGCTTCTTTGTTAAAAAAAAAATCAGATGGCTATAGATGTGGGGATATTTTTGTCTTGTTTGCATTGTATTATTGTGATTTATAATAAGAAATATATATTTGGTCTTCCTCTCTATTTCCTGGCACACAGCTTCTAAAACCCTTGGAATTACCACAGTAATGAATGGTTTTGCTGAGACTTGCTTTATGTGCTAGAATATGATCTGTTCTGGAGATTATTTCCTGGGCTGCTAAGAAGAATGAGTACTGTGAAGTTACTAGGTAAAATATTCTGTAGATATCTGTTGGATCCAGTAGTTCTATGGTGTTATTTAAATCTGAGGTTTCTTTGTTGAGTTTTTGTCTGGTTGACCTGTATTGGTAAAAATGCATGTTAAAGTGTGTGTTATGTCTCAATAGTGTTTGTTAAAGTTGGGTGGCCTGACATTTGGTGCATAGATGTAAAGAATTGTTACTAACATCTCCTTGATAGAGAGTTCTCTTTACTAATATGAAGTGACCATCTTTGACTTTTCTGATTTTGATTTAAAATGTACGTTATTGGATACCAGTATAACTACTGCCAGCTTTTGGATCTGTTTGCTTGGAAGAAGACTTTCTACCAGTCTTTTACCCTAAACCCCTATTATTTGTTTTTGTTGTTTGTTTTTGTTCTGATACTCAGATTTGAACTCAAGGCCTGGGTATTGTCCTTTAGCCTTTTTGTGCAAGGCTAGTGCCCTACCACCTGAGCCACAGCTCTTATTTCTAGCTTTTTTTTTTTTGACACTAATTTGGACTGGCTTCAAACCTTAATCCTCAGATCTCAGCCTCCTGAGTAGCTAGAATTACAGGCTTGAGCCACCAGTGCCTGGCTTACTCCTATTGTTTTTGTCAGATACAAGTGTTGTGTCTTTTGATATAACTCAACCCTCTCTGTCTTTTGATTATTGAGTCCACTGATATTGAGTGTTAAAACTGTACTGTGTGGGTAGTTCTAAAGTGACTTTGAATTTCAGCTTCTATAATAATTTCCACAAAAAACAGTAAATTTTGAGATAAGTGACATGACTTTGAGCCTCTAACAGGCAACTTGGAGAATAGCAGATGAAGGCCAGTTTGTAAACCTTGTTAATTGAAATTTTTCTTGAGCCAATCTCCTCATGATATGTTTCTCCTACTTTTAAAAACACAGGTAGGGAGGAGAGTTCTCCTACATCTACTTTTTTCATCATATTTTACAGCAGCATGTGCTGGTCTCCCACAGCTACATTGAGTATGTATTGCCAATTTTTTCTTATTTTATCTCTACTGGATTTTTTAGGCTTCTTTAACCCACTATAGTATAAGTTTTACCGCAGTGAGTATTTTAAAGATAATACTTTCTCCAAACTTACAATTTATTTAGTTTAAATTTCAAAAAGTTGTTGAGTGAATATGCAAAAAGATCAATTATGGTTTAGGTGTTTCATATAAATAATGATGTTTTCCGATAGTTTTACAAAAAATACACTTCTCAAAACCTTTTTCTGTATCCATGTTATCTTTATTTTAAAAAGAGCTGGGGCGGTGGCTCATGCCTGTAATCCTAGCTACTCAGGAGGCTGAGATCTGAGGATCACAGTTCAAAGCCAGCCCAGGCAGGAAAGTCAGTGAGACTCTTATCTCCAATTAACCACCAGAAAACCAGAAGTGGCGCTGTGGCTCAAGTGGTAGAGTGCTTGCCTTGAGCTGAAGAGCTGAGGGACAGTGCCCAGGCCCAGAGTTCAAGCCCCATGACCGACAAAAAAAAAAAAATGTTTTTTCTTTCCTGGTTGATAATTTTGTTTCTGTATTTTTATGTCTCTTATTTTTATTGAGCATGGACTGGGAAAACTAGTAAAAAAATTAAAAAAAGGTTTTGTGGATAAAATATAAAGCCAAAAAAAAATCCTATAAGAATTTTTGTTCATGGGGCTATGGTTTTTAATGCATTCAATTAAAGCATTTTTTTTTGTATGAGAACCCATTTATAATTAAAGTTACCATGGTAATTCCATATCATTTGCTTTTACTTGAGCATAAAAATGACGTCTGGTGGGAATTAGTGTGTTGCCAAACCGAGCTCATTTCTATGTGTATACTGCCACATTGTGCCAATCATGGGAACTGCACTTGTTTCACAGCTGCAGGCCAAATTTGAGCACCTTAAGAGAGCTCATCAAGAAGAACGAATGAGACTTGAAGAAAAAAGAAGAATTTTGGAAGAAGAAACAGTTGCTTTCGCTAAAAAGAAAGCTACCTCTGAGATATTCCAAAGCCAGTCCTTTATGGCTTCAAGTGCCACAGTGAGAAAGGAGAAGGATCGTAAGAAGTAAGAGTCCTAGTAACCATCTTTTTGGCCCTGTCACTTAACCTCCTGTCTCCTTGCCCTGTTTGATCTTCCTCATTCTGTTTCCTTGCTTCCTTACTCCTGAGGCTAACATGGCAGCTCCTTGTGAGCACAGACCTTGTCCCTCTGCACTACAGTTTTCTCAATAGCTAGAACAACACCTGGCACATGCTAGGTGCTTAGTGTTTACCAAAATGAGTGAATGAGTAATATGAAAATATATCGTAGAGTTAAAAAGTCAGTTAGCTGGGGAAACAATTGACTGCTCTTGCTACATAGTCCACCATTGCTTAAGTACACAGCTAATGATTGCTGACCTACCATGAGTTATTTTATATTTTATGTCTCAGTAGAAGATAAGCACTTTGTTGGGGAATCATGGACATAATATACTATAAATAAACCCCTAATTCTTAGGCTCATTTCTAAAAAAACAGTTCTACTGATCATTGATTTTGTGAGAATTTTTATTTTAATAAGGGAACCAGGCTATCGATTGGAACTCCTGTGCTTTGATGTCAGAGCTTGTGAAACCAATGATGGACGTTATGATGCAGATGAAAGTAGAGAGGGCTACAATACAAGGGGGCAGCATGAGTAGCAATTGGATGATAATCTCAAGCTTGTAGGTTTTGGTATGTGTTAAAATCAAAGTTTTAGAAAATAAGTTTTTCTTTTTGATATTTTCCTTCTATTCTGTGTTCCTCATTTTTTTCTACTACTTAAAATATCTTTTGTCTGTTCACTCATTTGCCTGGAGTGAAATTCATCATGATTTGTTCTGCTCAAAATGTTCCATTTTTGGTCTTTTTCTGTTTCCTGTACCTGCCTCTGCCTTAACAGTATTATGTCCTCCTGTGTTCTACACAGAACAAGGCTTTTTTTCTCAGTGCCTATATTCTATGAAATTATTTGTTGAAAGAATGAATGTTGGTATAATAGTGATGTTTGATTTAAACTTTGGACCTCAAAAGATAAACAATAAATATAATTTATTACTGCTTTCCAAAATGCTTAGAATTGTACTTGCTAAAGGATCTTTTAACTTTCTTTCCCCTTCATCTTAATCCAGAGTTACTAAAATTACATTTTCCAATTTTTCCTATATATTGAAGACAATTTATCTTGTAAAAATTGTTTTTGTGCTGTCCTGAAAGCCATGCTTTTGTTTACAAATTAAAAGCCAAGTACATAGTGTTGTAAGCTCAAATTCATCCTCAATCCTGTGGGGTGGGAGAGCAGCTGTTAAAAGCTTGAACAAATTTTAAGTATCACAATTAAATGTGAGCTGGTTTCCCACACACAAAAAAGAAAATTGTTTGGTAGGTTCTTTGTTGTATTTTCTTTCTGTTCTCAAAGCTATCATATATTAGAAGTATATTTGCTTTTTCATAAATATGTTACTAATCAAGAGAACTTTTTATCTTTTTCCAGCTTCAATTACATGTAACATAGGAGTTCGAGAGCAAAGAAGTTATCACAAGCAAAAGTTATTAAAAAATTATAAGTATGTGTTGATTTTCTAGTTTTTATTTGCTTTATCCCAAACCTCTGTTTGACAACTGGGCATAGTAACATTTATGGAAAATATTTTAAAGTATAAGGTCAGTACATAAGCCAGAGTGCATTTTCTTACATATTTACTGTTGTTTGAAATCTATGAGTTGCTATTTTTGCCATGACTATATGTCTCTTGTGCTGCTGCCAAGTTCTTGTCTCTTTGCCATGCTTTATATCAAAAGAGCAACTGTGCCATTGAAAATACACAACTCCTTCATACTATGGCTATATGATTGCATTTCTATTCCAGGCTCATCCTGTCTTTTTTGCATATATTAAACAAAAAATTGGGGAGTAAGTTTTGGGGTATATTATAGAGCTAAACTCTTAACCTCTCAAGTTTTATACAACTTTTTAATTTGTGATAGAATTACCCAGTTGGTAGTATCTTGGGCTTTTTTTGTCAAATTATATAACATGATGTCTTTTTAGGCCTTACTGTGTTTGATATATTGCTGTGATGAAACACAATATGCTTAGAAGTTAAAATATCCAGGTATTTAAACCCTTTTATCTAGTGTTAAAGTATCTTTGAACCTGGTTGTATTACATTATTTTTATTATTATATCTTAAGTACTTGTTTGAATCTCTTGCTAGGAGAAAATAGTAAAATTGAGTCATTTTTATTAAAATATTTCTTAAGAATATAACTGAATGTCTGAATATTAAATATATAACATGTGATTTTATATTTCAAGGGATATTTGCATTCAGTACTTTAATAATCTATGTTTTAATGGTTCCTAACTTTTTTTAATGCCAGAAGCATATAGATTTTCATGTTTTGTACTTAAATATTCTAAATAAAACTGACACATTTGGCAAATGAAATATATCTATATATTTATTAAGGCATGTTAAATTACTTTAACTTTTAATTTTTTTCTCTTGTTCCTCCTCCTCCTCTTTTTTTTCTTTTTTTTGTTCTTTTGTGGTACTGGAGTTTAAATTCAAGGCCTAGTGCTTACTAAGCAGATGCTCTACCAATTGAACAACTCAGCCCTTGGACAAGTCTAGGCTTTAATCCTTCTATTTGAACTTTCTTTGTTCCTGGGATGATAAGTATGCACAACTGTACTCAGCCATTGTTTGAGTTGGAGTCTTGAAAACTTTTATGCTCTTAGTGTCCTTGATCCAAGATCCCCTGAACTCTACCTCCCAAATAGCTAGGATTACAGGTTTGAGCCACTGCACGTGGTTAACTTTTCTGATTTGACATATTATTTACACTTTTATGGAGCACAGTGAAATAATTTCAGTACTTGTTTACAGAATGAGGAGATCTCATCAAAGTGATGGCCTTTATCATTTTTATATTGTAATTATTCGAAGTCATCTCTAATATTTAAAAATATGCACATAATTGTTGTCAACCATAGTTGTCTTACTGTGCTATAAAATACTAGAAGTTATTCTTCCTATTCATCTTCATACCAGTATCCATTACTATCCTCTATCCTTTCCCCATCCCATTCTTAACCTCTAGTAAATCTTCTATTCTTTACTTTTCCAGGACCAACTCTTTTAGCTTCCACAGATGTGTAAGGACATGTTGCATTTGTCTTTCTGTGCCTGACTTCACTTAACACAATGTCCTCCAGTTCCACTCATATTGCTGCGGTGTATATTGTATTTATGGAGTTCTGTTCCTAGTATTTGTTTTTGAGAAAATCATTTCTATAATGACTATCATAATTTACATTTCCACAAATAGTAATGTGAGTTCCTCTCTTACTACATCCACACTAACGAGAGTGAGGTACAATATCATGTTGTACTTCTGAATTATATTTCTTCAATGATTAGTGATGTTGATATTTTTACATGGGCTTATTAATAATTTGTATTCCCTCTTTTGACAGAAATGGACTTTTTGTTTCATGTCCTGTGCCTTGAACTCTGGACTTGGGCATTTCTTTTGAAAATGTTTATCTAGATCTTTTTCTCATTATTTTTTTTATTGTAAAGATGCTATACAGAGGGGTTAGAGTTACATGAGCAAGGTAATAAGTACATTTCTTGTCAAGCATTCTTACCCCCTCCTTGTTGACTTTGCTCATTTTTAATATATATTTTTATTGTAAAGATACTGTACAGAGGGGTTACAATCACATGAGAAAGGTAATGAGTACATTTCTTATCAAGCAACTTGCCTCCTCCTTTGTTTTTCCCCTCCCATCACTTCCCTCCCATCTCCACAACTACATTCCCCCCGCCCCCTCCCCCCACCAGCCTAAATTGTAAAGTTCGTTTTTTGACATAGTGTCTTGTACATCTCATTGTTGCAATGGGTCAACCTGTATCCCTGTTTAAACAATTTGTTTTTTCCCTTTCCCTCCCAAAATTATAGCAACATCAAATACAGTGAAAACAAGGGTAATACCGTGGGGAAGGGACATACAAAGCAACAAAAAAAATCACGTGGTACCTTAAATATGTTAGAAGCAATAGCAAGAAAGAAAAAAAACCACTTGTGTCCTTATCTTGGGGTTCATTTCGCTTAACATAATCTTATCTGACCTTTTCTGCTTGTCTCAGACATATACTACTTATTGCAAATAAGAGAAACCATGAGACCCATGTTTCTTTGGGCCTGGATTACTTCACTTATTGTAAAAATACTGTACAGAAGGGTTACAGTTACATGAGTAACGTAATGAGTACCTTTCCTATCAAGCATTGTTACCCCCTCCTTTGTTTTTCTCCTGCCATCCTTTCCCTCCCCAACCCCCCAATGTTCATTGTAAGTTCATTTTCAACATAATGTCTTTACATCTCATTGTTACAATTGGGTCAGCTGTATCTTTGTTTCAACATTTTGTTATTTCCCTTCCCCTCCCCAAATTAGAAAAATGTATATACAAGATGCAGGGCATGGGAATCAAATACAGTGAAAACAGGAGTTGTACCATGGGAGAAGAACATACAAAAGAAACAAAAAAAAAATCACATAGTACATTATAAGTACAATAAAAAAAACAGCAAGAAAGATAAAACCTCTTGTGTCCCTATCTTGGGGTTCATTTCACTTAACATCATCTTGTATAGTCATATGAACATAGCTTTTGACCTTTTCTTGCTTGTTCTAGACATATACTAATAATTGTAAATAAGGGAAACCATGGGACCTATGTTTCTTTGGGCCTGGATTACTTCACGTAATAGATGATTTTTTCCAAGTCTTTTCATTTCCTAACAAATGGGGGCTGTGTCATTCTTTCTGATGGAGGCTTAAAATTCCATTGTGTGTGTGTGTATATACATATATACAGCAGCTCTCTCTCTCTCTCTCTCTCTCTCTCTCTATATATATATATATATATATATATATATACACATACATCACATTTTCTTGATCCCTTCATCTACTGAGGGGCATCTGGGTTGGTTCCATATCTTAGCTATGGTGACTAATGCTGTGATAAACATAGTTGTGCTGGTAGCTTTAGTTTGGCCTTATTTGTGATCATTTGGATAAATGCCCAAAAGTGCGATTGCTGTGTCATAGGGGAGCTCTGTGTAGAGTCTTTTGAGGAACCTCCTGCTTTCCACAGTGGTTGAATAAGTTTACACTCCCACGAACAATGCAATAGGGTTCCCTTTTGGCCACATCCCCTCCAGAATCTGTTGTTGTTAGGTTTCTTGATTATAGCCATTCTAACTGGGGTGAGGTGGAATCTGAATGTGGTTTTGATTTGCATTTCTTTTAAGGCTGGAGAAGTTGGTCTTTGCTCATTTTTTTTTATTGTGAAAATACTGTACAGAGGGGTTACAATTACATGGGCAAGGTAATGAGTACATTTCTTATCAAGCATTGTTGCCGCCTCCTTTGCTCATTTTTAAACTGGATTTTTTTGCTTGCTTTGTTGTTGTACTTTGGTTATCTCATATGTGTTTTTAGAATCATATTCAAAAAATCTTTGCCAAGACTATTGCACTACAGCGATTCTCTGCCCCACCCCCCCAGTGTTTTTGTGATTTCAAGCAAAGTATTTTTCTAATGTTGATTTTTGTATCTATGGTGAAAGATAAGGATATAGGTTCCTTCTTCTTCATTTGGATATCCAGTTTTCCTTGGACCATTGACTAAAGGAGACTTACCTTCACCAATGGATAGTCTTGCTGTTTTTGTTAACAACAACAAAATCGGGTGGCTGTGAGTACATGAGTTATTTCTGGTTGATCTGTTTTATTGGTGTGTATTGTTCGGTTTTATGCTTGTATTGTGCTGTTTTGGATTCTATGTCTTTTTAGTATGTTTTGGAGTAAAATGCTTATGACTCCACATTTGTTCTTTTTGTTTAGGATTGTGGTTCCATGTGAATTTTAATACTGCCTTTTCTATTTCTGTGAGGAGTATCATTCATTTTTGATAGGGCTTAAATCTGTAGATGGTTTTAGGATGGAAATATCAATAATATGGATACTAATCCATAAATACGTAGTTTTTTCCATTTGTGTGTGTGTTTCAATGTTTTATAGTATTTTTATTCTTTCATTCCCTCGGTTAAATTTGTTCCTAGGTTTTGGAGGGGTTTGCAACTATTATACATTTGATGCTTGCTTGGTTTCTTTTGCAGCTAGTTTATTATTGGTATAAAAACTGAATTTGCTTGCCATTTCTAACAGGTTTTTTTTGGGGGGGGGGTGGATATATACATGGCATCTCCAGGAATAGTTTGACCTATTCCATATTTCAGTTTGGAGACCTTTTATTTCTGTTGCCTAATTATTCTGGTTAGAACTTCCATTACTATGTTGAGTAAGAGTAGCAAGAGTTCTAGATCTTAACAGAAATGTTTTCAGCTTTTTTCTCTTTCAAAATTATACCAATTGTAAGTTTGTCATATGTGGCCTTGTGCTGAGATACAGTTCTAGTTTTGTTGCAAAAATTCATGAAGTGATGTTGGATTTTTTTGTGTGTGAAATTACCATACAGAGGGGTTACA